CATTGTTGGCTGGACGGCGCAAAGGCAGGCACACGGTCCAGCCGCTGCGGTGAGTTCCAACATCAACCGGCGTCGGCGTCGGCGTCGGCGGATCAGTCCCGGTCATGCGACACTCGAGGCCGGTATGCTGACCGGTGTACGATTGGGGCGAGGACGGGGTTTAGTTTGCAGAACAGGTCGATGGATGCGAAGCGAGTGGACTGGCATCTCTCGTTTGGCCTGCCTGCTAGGATCACGTCGATGGTGAGTGAGTGCGTACGCAGTCGTCGATCCTGCTGCGAGGCCCTGTGGATGCCCACCGTACCTGCCTACCTGCCTGGCTGCCTGCTTAGCAAAGCCAAAGTCGTGGAAGACGGGGCTCGTTGGCCAAAGGGGGGCGGGTGACATGGTCCCGGATCCCCGCACGGCCGTTGCATTGCACCCGGGCACGGGCGTGCGGACGGGCGACTGATCGCGGCGGCCGACGCAGCTGTCGAGGCTGCGCCCTGCATGATCACGACGAGCCTCCTTCTCTGCCTTGCCTTGCCTGGCCTGGCATGGGACATGATCGGCTCTGACCCGCATTTCGCGCACGCTCATTCCCCCACGCCGTGATCCTTTCGTGCCCATCGCAGATGGCCAGCCGTTCCCAGCCCCCAGAGGTGACGGGGCGAGGCGAGACGATACGAGACGAGACGAGACGAGGGGCACGAGCGGAGTTTGATCCACCACCACCTACCCCAACCCGCTCGACTCAAGGCACGCAGGGTCAAGCCGACTCGATACCCGAGAGCGGGTAAGCGCCGCGGTACGTACAACCACACCTTGTCCGGGACGTCGGTCGGGTTGCGATGGAGTTGGAGATGGAGCCCCATGCCGTGGGATTCCAACGGTACGTACGGAACGGTAGGGTACCCGGTATCCGCCCAGGGGGTATGGATTGACGCGGAAACGTGATCCGAGGTCCAGGTCATGGTCCTCACGCTGCGCACCTCGCGCGAGGGGCTGCCTGGTCGCCGTACACAGCACTGCCCCCTGACTGACTGGCTGATAGTGGCCCTCTGTCTCCGGATAATGGCAGGTCTGCGTGTGAGAACATCCAGTACGTACGCGTCCTGCCCAGCCTGGCCTCGCCAGGCCACGTCGGCGGGTGTACGTGTACTCTCGACGCAAAGGACGACAACTCACGTCGACGGCTTACCTCCGCGGAAGCAACCAAGCAGAGATCCGGGTATCGATCGAGGCCGCGACGAGCGTGATTCATTTAGGGATCGCGAGGGCGGCTACAGTACCTACTATAGCGTTACCGGCAAGTACCGTGGCTAGGACGGATGGGCGACACGCGCGGGTTCCTCGAGATGACGAGGGCGGTGCGGCGCGGTACGGCGTGTTGTCAAGTGGCAATGCACCGTTACGACGCGCCTAGAGTGAGTACGAGGTGAGTACAGTGCAGTGGCGTGCTGTAGCGTCATGGTCTTGGATTCCGATGGCGAGTTGCCATCGACCAGAGGTTGATGGATGGGTGGTGAGCGGGATCGACAGAGGGGAGCAGTCTAGGGCGCGCACCAGTGACGCTGCTGACGCCGCGGAGTTTGTCGCCCCCTGCCTGCCTGCCTGCCTGGCGTCGCGAGCGAGGTCGTCACGACGTGGCGCTGCGTGACAGCCCGCGACCCTTGTCTCGCCCTCTAGCGTGCCAGAGTAGCGCGGTTGCGCCCTCGACTCGGCGCGGCTACGGCTGCAACGCTACAAACACATCGCAAACTACCGCCAGCCTAGCCTGCCTTTTGCCTTTTGCTTGCTACAGTGTAGGCGCGCTGCGATTTAGACGCCCGTGCTGATGGCCTTTCATGCCCTCCCGTCCGCACGCCCTTGGACGATGACGGGGGAAATGACGGGCGGGTCTCGACGGCGAAACGGCGGGTTGCAGCCAGCCCGGCAGCGGGTTCCTGGCGCAGGTGAGTCGGCGTCTGAAGAAACGGCACGCACGCACGCCCTCAGGCGAGGGCGGATGCAAGCGGGCCCGAGGATTCCATTCAGATTTTCCGAGGGGGGGGGGGGGGGGGGCGGCGAGGCGACGGCGACGACGACGACGAACAAACCAACC